GAGAGAGAGAGAGAGAGAGAGAGAGAGAGAGAGAGAGAGAGAGAGAGGGGGAAAGGTCTTTTACATTGAGTCAGTTGCCATTTCTGATGCTCTTATGTAGGATTCTGAGTTTTCTGAGTTTTCCACTGGTACTATTTGCTTTCAAACTGAAGGATTTCTTTACCATTTATATAGTTCAGATCTATAGGTGATGAAATTCTTTACCATTCATTGGAGAATTTGTTTATTTTTTCTTCCTTCTTGAAGGATACTTTTGCAAGATAAATACTTCTGGACTATGTTTTGCTCAGAACCTTAAAGGTGTTCCCTCATTTTTTTGTTCTATGATTTTTGATAAGTCATCAGGCAGAACTATAGCTTCAGGAGAACAAGAAACAGGAAAAGTAACTGGGTAGACCCCAAACCTTTGATGGTAGCCGCTACAATAAACCTTACAAGTCAACCCCACTCCCATTAAAATGTTAATAAGTTGAGAGGCAGAGGTGTGCTGTTGGCAAGATATGCACTTGCAGCCTAAATACTGAAGTGAAAGTCAATTCATGGGAAAAGATACACCATGCCAACAGTAAGCTTAAGCAGGCTGGAGTGGCCATGATGCTATCAGAAAAACACATTTCAAAATAAAATGTATTCTTAGAGATAAAGAGGTGCACTTCATGAGGATAAAAGGGTCAACAGGAATACACAGTCTCAGAAATGTACATGGTCCCAACAACACTGCTTTAAAATACAAGGTAAAATTGACAGAATTGCACAGAGAAATAAACAACTCCAGAAATGCAACCAGAGACTTTCATACATTTCTGTCTCAGCAATTTAGACAACAACTAGCAGAAAAGAAAGCAAAGAGATAGATAGGAAAATACTAAAAGCAACCCAGATTTCACTAACAGTAAGAAAATGCACACAAATGTCAAAAAGAGCCTATGTATTATTTCAAGTGCAAATGGTAAGTCTGCCATGCTAGACTTTTTTTTTTTTTTGGAACCATAAACAAATTCTCAACAGATCTGAAAATACTGTAATGATACAGAGTATAATTTGTGACTATAATAGCATTTAATTAGAAGCAAGTTTCCATATGATAACCAGTAAATCATAAATATTTGGAAATTAAACAATAAAATTCTAAATAATCGTTGGATTAAAGAAAAAAATCGGAAAACATTTTAAACTAAATGATAAGAAAATGCAGCAGATTAAAACGTAGCATATCTCAAGTTACTAACTTCAACCTTAAAACACTGCATACTCAATGCAAGTAGAAGGAAGGAAGTGAAGACAAAAATGAAATAGAAAGACATCTGTATTTTATTTCTCTTACTTTAAAAAATTTGTTCTCGGGGCTTCGCTCCAGGAGGGTGCGCTTGGTGCCGTGTTTCCTGTCTCCAGTGCAAGGCTGCAGCGCCGGCCTGAGGCCTGACCCAGCAGGACCATGGCTTCAGCTCTGGACAAGCTGCAGAATAATCTAGAAGAGGTAAGGATGTTGCTGGAAAAGACCTCTAGAAAAAGAGTACGTGATGCTCTTACAGCAAAACAAAAACAAAACAAGATTGAAACAGAAATAAAGAACAAGATGCAACAGAAATCATGGAAGAAACCAGAACTTCTTGGCAATGAAAAGCCAGCTGCTGTGTGTGCTCCCATCACAACAGGATATACCATGAAAATCAGTAATTATAGATGGGATCAATTCCATAAGTTTTTGAAAATCTACATCACTTTAATGGGAGTTCATCAAGTTACCACCGAGAATGTGCAGGTTCATTTCACAGAGAGGTCATTTGATCTTTTGGTAAAGAATCTAAATGGGAAGAGTTACTCCATGATTATGAATCTCTTGAAATCCATGTCTGTGGAAGGCAGTTCAAAAAAAGTTAAGACCGATACAGTTCTCGTCTTATGTAGGAAGAAAGCAGAAAACACACGGTGGGAGTATTTGACTAAGGTTGAAAAAGAATGCAAAGAGAAAGAAAAGCCTTCAGAAGCCATCGAAACAGATCCTAGTGAGGGATTAATGAATGTTCTAAAGAAAATTTATGAAGATGGAGATGATGATATGAAGTGAGCCATTAATAAAGCCTGGGTGGAATCAAGAGAGAAGCAAGCCAAAGAAGATACAGAATTTTGAGACATTTAAGTCTTTTTGGGCACTGAAATGAACCTGCACATTCTCGGTGGGAACTTGATGAACTCCCATTAAATATGTGGAAATATGGATGTTTCCAATAAGGGAATGTTGGAGAGCTGCACATATAAATTTGACATAACTATTTACACAGTAAAGGCAGTAAATTCTCCTTTACTGGAGGATTTATTTAAATAAAATGTGCTTATTAAATATTCCAAAACAATTTGTTCTCTTTAGATATACATGACAAAGTATTTTTTTGACATATTTATACATACATGGAGTATATCTTATTTTAATTAGGATCTCAGTCTTGTGGTTGTACATGATGTGGAGGTTCACTGTGCTGTCTTCATATGTGAGCATAGGAAATTTATGACTCATTCATTCCACTCTGTTTCCTATTCCCATTCCCTCTCATTTCATTCCCCTTTGTTTAATCCACTGAACTTCTATTCTTCCCTGGCGCCCCACCCTGTTGTGTATTAGTATCCACATATCCGAGGGAATATTCTACCTTTGTTTTTTTTGAGATTGGCTTATTTCATTCAGCATGATAGTCTTCAGATCCATTTATTAGCAAATTTCATCAAGTCATTCATTTTTATGGCCGAATAATATTCCATTGTGTAAAAATACAAAAATTTTTTTTTTTATTGATTCAACTGTTGAAGGGCACCTAGTTGGGTTCCATAACTTAGCTGTTGTGGATTGAGCTGCTATAAGCATTGATGTGGCTGTGTCATTGTAGTATGCTGAATTTAAGTCCTTTGGTATATACCAAGGAGTGGGATATCTGGGTCAAATGGTGGTTCCATTCTAAGTTTTCTGTGGAATCTCCAAAATGCTTTTCCGTAGTGGTTGCTTCAGTTTACAGTCCCACCAGCCATGTATGAGTGCACCTTCCCCCCCACATCCTCACCAACATTTATTGTTGCTTGTATTCTTGAAGATTTCCTTTCTTTTTTTAATTCTATTTTTTTAAAATTCTAACTTGTTATATATGACAACAGAATGCATTACAATTCATATTATACATACAGAGCACATTTTTTCTTATTTCTGGTTGTATAAATAAGTATATCCACACCATTCGTGTCTTTGTACATATACTTAGGGAAATGATGTCCATCTCATTCCACCCTTGCCCCTTCCCTTTCTCTCCCTCCCCTTTGCCCTATTAGAGTTTGTCTAATCTTCATGTGCTCCCCCTCCCAATCCCACTATGAATCAGCCTCCTTATATCAGAGAAAACATTCAGCATTTGTTTATTTGGGATTGGCTAACTTTGCTTAGCATTATATTCTCCAACTCCATCCAGTTACCTGCAAAGATTGTCTTTCTGAATGGAGTGAGATGAAATCTCAGTGTAGTTTTAATTTGAATTTCTCTAATTGCTATAAATGTTGAAATTTTTTTATATATATATTTCTTGACCATGGTCGTTTCTTCTTCTTATGAAGTATCTGTTCAGTTCCTTTGCCCATTTGTTGGTTGGGTTATTTGTTTTTTCATGTGACTTTGTTTTTGAGTTCTTGATATATTCTGGAGATTAATTGTCGGGAGTGACAGATTAATCATTGCTTCGAACTCCACAGCCATGGACAGCTAGACTACCTTTTGGGTTTCTCTCAGTACAACAGTGCTGAAAGACATGCCCATTTGCAGGTGGCTGCTGTTAATGATGCAGATTCCATGTTCCATAGCTTTGAATTCAGGTGTCTGCTGCCTTGGGATGAAAGAAACAGCCCTTAGGTGCCAGCTGTCCTGAGCAAGAAGATATTGCACAAATAGATAAGCCCCAATTAGTCTGTTTCTACAGACTTTGTTTACCTTGAAGAACCCTTCATGACAATAAATCCCTTTGATGTACTTCCCTTTAAATAAAGCATTCATGGGCTTTTTCTGTTGTTAGGGAATAGACCCAGAATCTATTCCACCCACCAGGGCTCTGCTGTAAAACTATTTTTTTTCATGTCTTTTGTCTTTTATTTCTTATTAATTATTTCAGACTTAATTTTTTAGCCAGTTCATGCCTCCATTTGGTTTATTGATCCCTTGCTGGGAAGGATACAGCAACAATTAATGCTCTGAGGTGCAGGTGGCAAAGATTTTCTCCCATTCTGTAGACTCTTCTTTTCACACTCTTGATTGTTTCCTTTGCTGTGGATACACTTTTTAGTTTGAGACCATCCTATTTATTGACTGTTGATTTTACTTCTTGCAGTTTAGGAGTCATGTTGAGGAAGTTGGGGTCTAAGCTGACATGATGAAGAGTTGGGCCTACATTTTTGTCTTGGTGCAATGTACCTAGGTCCTTGATCCACTTTGAGTTGAGTTTTGTGCAAGGTGAGCTATAGGGGTTAAATTTCATTCTGTTACATATAGATTTCCAGTTTTCCCAGCACCATTTGTTGAATAGATTATCTTTTCTCTGATGTATCTTTTGTGTAGTATGTGCTCTGTATGTATTTATGTGGGTTTGTCTCTGTGTCTTCTATTCTGTTCCATTGGTCTTCATGTCAGTTTTGGTGCCAATACCATGCCATTTTTTTTTTTTTAACTATAACCCTGTAGTAGAATTTAAGGTCTGATATTGTAATGCTTCCTGCTTTTTCCTTGCTAAGGATTTCTTTGGCTATTCTGGACCTCTTATTTTTCCAAACACATTTCATGATTGCTTTTTCTATGTCTATGAAGAATGTCATTGGAATTTTGATGGGAATTGCATTGAGTCTTTATAGCACCTTTGACAGTATTATGGTCATTTTGACAATGTTAATTCTGCCTATTCAAGAATGTGGGACATCTTTCCATCTTCTAAGTTCTTCAATTTCTTTATTTAGTGTTCTGTAGTTTTCATTGTAGAGATCATTTGCCTCTTTTGTTAGATTGATTCCCAGGGTTTTATTGTTGTTGTTTGGTTTGATTTTTTTGAGGCTATGGTGAATGGATAGTTTTTGTAATTTCTCTTCAGCTAATTCATTATTGGTATATAGGAACACAACTGATTTATCAGGGTTAATTTTATATCCTGCTACTTTGCTGAATTGATTTATTAGTTTTAGAAATTTTCTGGTGGAGGTTTTTTTTTTTTTGAGTCTTCTAAATATAGGATCATGTCATGGGCAAATAGGGATTGTTTGACAGGTCTTCTTTTTTCTATTCATATTCCTTAATTTATATTGCCTAATTGCTCTGGCTACAGCTTCAAGGGCTATATTGAATAGAAGTGGTGAAAGAGGGTTTAGAGAGAATGCTTTCAGTTTTTCTCCATTTGGAATGATGTTGGCCTTGGGTTCAATGTATACAGCTTTTATATATTGAGGTATGTTCCTACTATCCCTAGTTTTTCTAGTGTTTGAACTTGATGGATGCTATATTTTATCAAATGCCTTTTTGCATCTATTGAAATAATCATGTGATTCTTGTCTTTAAGTCTATTTATGTGGTAAATTATATTTATTGATTTCTGTATGTTAAACCAAACTTGCATCCCTGGAATGAATCCCACTCGATCATGGTGCATTATCTTCTTAATGTGTTTTATATGTGTTTTGTCAGTATTTTATGAAGAATATTTGCATCTATGTTCATCAGGGACATGGATTATATTTTATATGAAATATATTATCTTATGAGCTTCTACTTTGATTGATTTAGAGGAAAAAGATGCAAACTGTCAATATTGGGAATGAAAGAAAGGATACCAGTATGAATATTCTACATTTTAGAATTATGATCTGGGAATATTAGTAATGAATTCATGATAACACACTTGATGATCTAGATGAAATTAATAATTTGAGAGTCATAAATTAGGAAAAATATTATAAGTCTTATATACCAATGTAGATATTTTTATTTTGTGATTAGAATCCTTCCCATAGAGAACACTTCAGAACCATAAGCTCTCACAGGTGAATGATGTTGAACATATAATTAAAAATAACATCAATTGTAAATATACTCTCAGATATAAAAGCATGGAATAGCTTCCAACTTCTTTTAAAGACAATTATTATACTGCTTCCAAAACTAGGCAAAGATCACAAGAAAGAGAACAATAGCCAAAATCCTTCATGAGCTTGGACTAAAAAATCTGAAAAACATATTAGGAAATCAAGTACAAAAATAGGCAAAAAGCAGCATACATCTGTCCACAGATGGTTTTATCCTATCATGGGAAATCAGGGTTGGTCTTTTGTTTTAGAATAAAACAAAAATCCATATTGCCATATTAGGAGAATCATGGTGAAATGTCAAAGATTCATTATAATGGATGCAGGAAAAGTTATTTGTTTAAATTCAACATCATTTCATGGTAAAATCTTTAGGACTACAGGAATTGAAAAGAACTTTCTCAACAAGGTTAGGGAGAAGAATGAAATCCTACCAATAGCATCCGTGTCAGTCAGGAAAGGCTCAACACTTTCTTTTTTGGATCAGCAACAAAGTAAATATGTTGGATCTTAGCATTTTTATGTAACTTATTCTGGATGACAGCCAGCACAACAACACAAAGGCACAAAGGAGCCCCTGGTCTGCCACAATGTTCAAATACGCCAGGCAAATGCTGGAGGTTTCTTGATTAGGATTCAGTCTTTGTTCTTCCCAAGAACCATTTCTGGGAAGTTTCTATCTCACTTCTACAGAGTGAGACAGATCTATTTTGCACTCTTGGTAGTTCATTGTTTTTTTCTCTCAATGAAATGCAGCCTATGTTTGCAGTTGCATAATTTCTTCAGTGCTTCTTGCTTGTAGAACTGGAGGGCTCTATAAGTCTCTTTTTATTTTGTACTGTCTCTGTACCTTACATTTCTGTTTCTACTAATCAAGTTCTCCTAAAACAGTTTCTTCAAAGTCCTTTAATGTCCACTCATTTCCCAGTTCAAATGATACTCCATCCTTTTACACTTTTTTAAGATGGCTCCCCAGTTTGGTTGCTAGTGTCTATTGTAGTTACTTATT